AAAAAAAAAAAAAAAAGATATTCAAATATGCCATTTATTTTCCTTTTTTCTTTTGGCGGAACAGAGATTATTTTCCATCTTTAAATGTAGTAGGATAGTAAGGGGTTCAAACAGGAGTGCTGTGAAAGAACAAAAGAAGGACCTCTGCCCAGCGCTCTGGGCTGGGGAGCGCACGGGGCCACAGAGAGGCCCGCATGCGGCTGTCTGCACAAGGCTCCCATTCGCCACGCCCGCTGCTGCCCACCCACAGGACCCCAGCATAGGACACAGGCCCTGGACGTGGCTCCCTGGGTGCAGTTATCCCCTCCTTTGGAAAATCTAAGGCAGATAGGGTAAAAATTAACAAAGCAGAATTACTGCAGCAGAAGCAAACTTGACACATCAATAAGAAAACATCTGGGGCCGGGGAGATGGCTCAGTAGAATAAGCGCTTTCCTGGCAAGCACAGGGGCCTGAGTTCAATCCCTGGTTTCAGCAAAAAAAAAAGAAGAAAGAAAACATCTAATATAATGCATTCTGGAAGAAAGCATTCTGGGAGATCAGAAATTTGTAAAGGGGGGGGCCGGGGAGATGGCTCAGTGGAATAAGCACTTCCCTGGCAAGCACAAGGGTCTGAGTTCAATCCCAGGTTCCTCCACAAAAAAAAAAAAAAAAAAAGAAGAAAGAAAATAAATTTGTAAAGGATCAGCATACAAAAGCCTGAGAAAGAAGAGAAAGATCTGAGCCATTTATAGGAACACATTTCTGATGGAAGTACCAGAGACATTGTGAGAAAAAGCCTTTAACCGGAAATTGTAATGCTGCGGGGCTGAAGTACAGAATATGCTAGAAATATGTGGAGCCAACATCAAGAAGCTTCACCTTGCCAAGAGGAAAGGACTGAAATATGTACCAAGGCTTCTTGTAAAACCAAGAATCATAAAACTGAACCTGTTTGGAAGGCGCAAGACACAAGGCAGGAACTAAAGTGGATTCTCAGCACTTCCTCACACTTTTCTGTAGAGAAATATGAAATGCTGAGAAAGGAGTGGAAAAAAAAATACTACGTTCCCTCAAAGTAACCTGACAGAAGCTGGGGAGAGAGCTCAGAGGTCTAAGTGCCTGCCTGAGAAGCACAAGGACCCGGGTTCCATCCCCCGTACCGCGTGCTGTGCAGCCCCAGTACCCCGGGCACACCTTGCCACCCCAAAATTTGGCATGGTGATGCCCGCCTATAATCCCAGTGCTGGGGAGGCTGAGACAGGAGGATCATTATGAGTCCGAGCTTCATAGTGAGACCCTGTACCAAATATA